ATCTGCAAATGATTAGAGAGATTCATTTATAAATGCACATCATTTTCAATTTATAGAAATCCCTGAACAGCAAACAATATGTAAAATGTGTCTTGTATCTGCTTTTTAATAACAATATGTTTCAGATACATCATACTTGGTTTTTATGAAAATATCTTAGAATTGATGGAATTAATCAATGTGAAAACATTAATTTGCATTGAATTGATTTAGAAGATGTTACATTTTACGTTTTTTTTTCTATCATATGCATCATGTATACATTGGATATGATTAAATCATAATACATTATTTCTAATTCAATGCATTCTGGATGGTTATATTAGTTTAATTTATCTGTGTACCTATATGTACCAACATTTTTCCATGACAGAAAGGCGCATCATACTATATATATCCTTTAGATGTTGTGCTACTTTTTTTTTATCAGTAAATGTTAATGTTCAATCACTGGTAAGTGGAAACTGTTGTTCTGAATGAATGAATGAATGAATGAATGAATTAATTAATAAATGAACGAACAAATGAATTAATGAATGAATGAATACAACTTAAAGCTTGACAATAAGAGACAGGTGATTTGATATCAATATTGTGCAAGTGCTACACAAGCTGCAATCTGTGTAATAATCAGCATTGGGAATCTAAATTTTTTTTAAATTATGGCTGCAATGGCCAAGTCAGATTTCAGTATATGCTGGCACATGTCCAGCAACATTTAAATGTTTATTCACCAACCAATGATTTGTAGTGGTTGGGTGCGCTAAAGCAATACATATATGTGTGTGTGTGTGTGTGTTTTGTTGGACAGGTAGGTTTTCAAACTTTTTTTATTTTGCCTACATAATAGGAAGTAAATCTCTAACACCTACATTGCTGTATAAACACTCTTTGTGCCCATTCTCCCAGCATAAGATGCCCAAAGGTAACCAGTGGCTCCTGATATTAAAGTGCAACAGATTCCCCTCATATTAAAGTGCGGAATGACGTGACAGATGTTCAGCTTTCTTTGTTGTTTTAATTATCACTTCAGTGTTTCCCTACAACCAAACATAGCTGACATGACTCTATTTCATGACTTTGGTACAATTATTTTGTAGACAGTTAAGCACTATAGAGCACTATTGGAAATTTACCAGTACCTAAACTGTCCTGACTGATACAATGTGAGTCTGATTCACTATGTAACCATGCACTCATTTCACCTTAGTGAATAAACATTTTGGTGATTTTTCATCTATTTTGATATTTGTACGTCATCTAGACATATTTCAACAGTTTACAAGCATTTTGTGGTACAACTGAACACATACTTATTCATCTAGCGCCCTCTAGTGTAGCTTTCACTCACTAGCATTATAAAGTGAAGTGTGTGAAAAAGACAAGCAGCGTGTACACTGTATGAGCTTTGAATATATTTAACCATCACTGACGGCTCAAGGAAACTTCAATGTACACAATAAAGCAACAACAGAGCTGGAAAAATATGTACAGGAAGCTAAATACTCATACTATATGTTTTTCAGTTAGGTCATTAAAAAAAATTAAAATAATTTGACATAATTTGAACTGACTCTGTTTATCATACAAAAACACAGTTCTATCCTGTAGTTCTGTTAGATATTGCAACTCTCCGGTCATATAAGGTAAATGGAAGAATCCTATGTACAGCCCACATTAACACGTTCATTGCTGAATACCCATTTCTGTGAATCATGCACTAACTACATCGATGAGGGCTAATCTTGGCTAACGTCCCTGAGTGTTTTGAAATGAATTTCCCACAGTACTTAGGCTAAAGCCTCAAGGGCTGACAAAGCATTATGGGTTATGTAGTTCACAAACAGGGGTGCTAAAGTAGCCAAAACGAGCTTACATGACTTCTATACAGATTGCTTATCTTTAAACATGACAGACCACAGTGGATACAAAGTACATTTGCAATTAATGGTGATGTAACTAGCATGCTGCACCTGTTATTCTGTACATATTTTGGATATTCTGAAGCATTTTGAGAGCATGCTAGACTAGCTCCATACACATTACCTAAGAACATTGGCTATTGCTCTGGATCTAAAACTTTGTACGAGTGCTTCTGTTTCATTTTAGTTAAATCACCTCTTTTGAGTGGATAAAACCACATATTTTGTGTTGATATAAAATACAGTTTTTAAAAAGAAACGTACAAATGTTAGGGAGTAATAACAATTAAGGTCAATACAGCATTGCATCGCCGTTTTTTTTTTTTTTAACGTTCTAGAAACCTAATTTATCCAGAATGTATCCAGTTAACCCTGAGTGCCAGAGGGGTTAGCACAGAAACCGGTTGATAATGGGTTACATTAGAATAATGATGTATACATAAAACAATAACATTTGTAATGTATTATATGATAATCCCAGTCAGTATGTCCATGCAGTCACCATACGGTACTTTTATTGACATGATTAATAGGCACCTGGTACCCAACTACACAGAGCAAGCATCCTTATTTGAAGGATTTTAGTCATAACACAGAGCAAGCAGAGACACGGCCCACTATTGAATGGGGCATGTTACCTCCATCTAAGTGTTAAATTGAAAAGAATAAATTAAAAAAATAAAAATGACCCACCCTTTAAATATGAACTCACTACTCACCATTGTTTTCAGTGATTTCCAGTATGTCATTGTGCAGTGATGGTGACAGGGTGCCTTGTCTTCCTGAATCCATTCTCCTTAAGGTAGCATATACAGATTGGGCCTGGAAATCATGTACATATTGATAAAACAAAATCATTTATCTGCAGCATTAGAACACATGATATCATGCAAGGACAGGTAACTGTGAAAGTAAACTTACCTTATATAGGGCAAGTGCAAGCAGCAACCAACATATGCCATCTCTTAGATCCATCTCTACTCTGTCTTCATACAGTGCAGCTCTGATCAATCATAAGATCACAGTGATTTCTTCTTCTTTAAATGTTTAATGGCAGTATTTCATTACTGACATCACTCTGCTCTGCTTGTGTCAGCGAGTGCCAATCAACCAATACAAGATCAATGCATGCACAGCAAGGCTTTAGTTTTCGGTGGTTTACTCCTGATTTATGAAATCATCCATTATAATTTCTATACCATGTGATTATGCTTTATTTTCTTTTAAATTGCAATCTGTGGTGTAGTGGTTTGTTCCTTGCTGTGCAGAGATCTGGAGGGTATAGCTGCTGGCATAGAGTGGAATTAGACAGGCAAGTAGCTGCAAACTGTCTTGAGAGTAAGTGTATTGCTGTGTGTTGGGTATTAAGATCCTTTGCTCAGTAACCCCCATGTGTCTCAGTGCAGCAGCCTGCAGCAAGTATCCCTTTACTAATCCTGGCCAGCCGGCTTCTGTTGCTGACTGACTGTGCCCTGTAGCCAATCAGTGGGGCTGGTTCCTGTAGTGGGCTGGTGCCTTGTTTAACCCATGCCTGACTGCCTGATCTGTGATCACATGTAAACTGGAACTGCAGCTAGGAGACACCTTAAGCACATCTGACAATTATGTGCATGATCAGGGACAATAAATAGAAACTCTTAGATCCTTAATACCCCCAGTTATATCTAAGTAAAATGACTGCAAGAATAGAACTGATACAAACCGAATTAGGATGTTTTATTTAATTTTGGCATTGTTTACTTGTGCATTTTAACTGATGGGTCCAGAGTTGCAAAGCTGGTTGTGCACTTCTACGTAAATGATGGTTAATCAAAGAATGGATACATAAGATCAACATTGACATTATATATATATATTAGCATTACTGATAAAATATTTAGTATTTTGTGCTCCTTTTTTTTTTTAAATGTGTATTAGGTAATATTTAGCTGGATTTATTGAAGACAAAGATTATTTAGTTTCAGTTCTAAAATTTTATTTTATTTTAAACAGAGTAATCAATACATGTGGATCTCTGATAACAAAACCCTGAGTACACACTTTAATATAATGCTCTGTGCTTACTTGTACTTTTAATACATACTTCATATTTCCAAGCATTAAAATTATGACAAACATGTTCTATCTTTCATGACTGTAATATACAATACAGACTACGTAAAACATAATAAACAGTAAAACTCATTAATTATTTAAAAAATAATCTGTTACTCAGTGTTTTAATTGATCTATCCAGTAGGCGTACAGAAAATGTTGTTTGGGAGCTTATGTATCAAACAGTGAGGGGAAGTGAAATGAAAAATTGCACATTTTAGTCTAGAATAGCCATCTAGAACTATTGCTAACATGGGGATAATTTCCCACAGCCCTACATCTGCAATTTGATGAGATTTTGGTTCATATACTACACAGCCCTTTGATTAAGAAGAATGCACAGAGCTTGTTTGTAAATGAACAATGTGTATGTGTGAGTTAGGTGTCCACCAATTCCCACAAGAAACAAGATTAACAATTGTCTCTGCTAAGTACTGTTCATATCAATAAATTAATAGTCACTATAAAAAAGGCAACAATCCCAAGTCAGCGTGGGAGCAGCACAGCACAGAGCAAGCAGAGCCAGCAACCCCCAGCCTGCAATCAGAATACTGATCAGCCTCTACAGTTATCACAATTTAAAAAAGCCTTTTTTGGAGGCGGGGCCTGACGAGCATTGCGACTGGATGTGAATCCTGAGAGCTCCTTGAGAAAAACTTACGAAAAGACCATTATCAAGCTGTTCCACTCACATAATCGCCGAGGATAATCTAGTCTTCAATTTACTTACCCACTGACCAACTTGGGAGCGTATCCAGCAGTCTTACAAATCTCCCCAGTCGCTGACAAGCAGCGTTCCTCTCCCGGACCAGCGCAGGCTATATGGTTCTGTCACCCCGTTACCCCCCCCCCCCTCCATTTGTACTGGCGGGGGTGATCCCGGTACCCATCCTGATGACTCCCAAGTTTCTGTGCAGAGCAGTGGCTGTGCCACACACCCCAGCATGGCCATAGGAGGCAATCTCAAGATGGCTGACGCCACTAGTACACCATCGCTAGGAAGAGAGAAGAGCACTATTCTCCAAAGACTAGATGCTCTCTTTGAAGCATTCTGGAAAAAGCTGGAAAGTAAAATGACCCTATATGAAGCAGAAGAGTTTCCTTCCACACGGTACCCAAACCGCATCCTGATAAATAAGGCAGTCCCCACCATGGGCCCAATGCACTCGAGGCAACGAAAGTCACACTGGTGTACCAGAAGTAAAGCAATACATCGGCGGTCACTGAAACTGCATCCCTCCAAGCCCATCAAGGCAGAGAGGTGGGGAAGGAGAGAGGAAAGTGGTAAGCACCTGCAGCCACCAACCCCAACGTTGCCATCTTCAGTACACAGCCTGCAAACTCAAGCTATATGGGACTTTACAATGCCAGTTGAGGGGATAGGCTGACTGCCATGTGGAGACTCTCAATGCACAATACAGCCCAACATGCTAACCCTTTATAGAGTGTGATTTCTCTTATTTTTCAAATACAAAGAAACTAGTCCTGCGCTCAAACTCCCATTGCTCCTGGGCATCAGCAATGACTATAGTACACATCAGCCAAAATACATATAGTAAAAACCAAAGAAAAAAAAGTTACCTGCGCTCTTTTCACATTCCTATGTATTTTTAAACAAATAGAGGTTTTTAGTTACCTCCAATGGCCATGAGAGGGTATGCCCACCTGCCACGTCAAGGCAGACCTCTTAGGTGGGTCCTAACGCTAACCATTCGCCTTGCTTCCTTGAGCTTCTGGCAAAAATATCTCTAATGAGACAGAAAGGGGTATTTTTTATATACATCCCTGCACGCTTATTAACCATTAATAGGGAACACATGGGATGGGCAGGAGCATTGCAACCTAGCTGTGTGATACAAAAGTGAATACAAATACAAAGAAACTAGTCCTGCGCTCAAACTCCCATTATTCCTGGGCGGCAGCAATGACTTTAAATGTGCAGAATTTTCATATGCCATGTACTTGATTACCCTATGTTGATATGCTGATATGCTTACTGAAGCTGCTGTGGCATTGCAAGCTGTTTAAATCCACAACAAAAATAAAGAATTAAAAAAAAAAAAAAAGCAACAATCTGGTCTTATTTGACAATCCTCATGATCTTCATCAGCACCATACAGTGTCACTTGTGTTTGTGTTGGTACATTAAAAAGGACACATTAACAGCGTTTTTGTTTTCTTACTAGCATGGAAAAGAGATTAGAACAGTAATGCAGACTGAAAAAAGACTCAAGACCTTCAGGTTCAGTTTTTTATACATCTCTCTTTCTGTTGTTGATACACAGTCAGATTACTCCTTTGATCAAAAAGCTATTACCACATTTTTTTCACCCTAGTTATTTTAGCTATTATATCCTTGAATATTCTGTTTTTGCATGGCAGCATCCAAAACATCTACACAAAGAGATTGAGTCAACCTTTTAATACTTACCGCTCACTTTTGTACCTTTGTTGATGGTAACATTTCCTTATCGCCCACCAGTGCTGCAGTAACTAATTTTATAGCCCAAGTGCAATTTTATTTATTTATTTTTTTAGAAAGGATGTTTTTTAAAATATGTACTTACATTTACATTTTTTTTTCCTTTTTTCAATTTTTTTTATGTGTGTCTGTGAGGTGCTGTGTGTGTCTGTTTGTGTGTGAAGGGTGTTGTGTTTGTGTGTTAAGGGTGTAGTGTGTGTGTGTATGAATGGTGTAGTGTGTGTGTGTGTGTGTGTGTGTGAAGGGTGTAGTATGTGTACATGAAAGGTGTAGTGTGTGGGAAGGGTGTAGTGCGTGTGTGATAAGTGCTGTGTGTGAGAGAGGTGCTGTGTGTGTGTGAGAGGGCAGTGTGTGTGTGAGGGGGCAGTGTGTGTGTGAAGGGGCAGTGTGCGTGTGTGTGTGTGTGTGAAGGGTACAGTGTGTATGAAGGGTGCTATGTGTTTGTGTAAGAAGTGTGTGTGTTTGTGTATGAAGTGTGTGTGTGTTTGTGTATAAAGTGTGTGTGTGTGAGTGGGCAGTGTGTGTGAGTGGTGATGTGTGTGTGTGTGTGTGAGAGTGGTGATGTGTGTGTGTAAGTGGTGATGTGTGTGTGTGTGAGTGGTGATGTGTGTGGTGTGGTGTGTGTGTGTTTGTTGGGATGCGTGTGGATGTGTGGGTGTGTGTGTGTGTGTGTGTGAAGGGTGATGTGTGTGAAGGGTGTGATGTGTGTGTGAAGTATGATGTGTGTGTGAAGGGTGCAATGTGTGTGTGGTGATGTGTGTGTGTTAAGGGTATGATGTGTGTGGTGATGTGTGTGCATGGTGATGTGTGTGTGGTGATGTTAGTGTATGTGTGTGGTTGTGTGTGTGTGTGTGTGGTGATGTGTGTGTGTATGCAGGGTGCGATGTGTTTGTGTGAAGGGTGCGATGTCTGTGTGTGTATGTTTGAAGGGTGCAATGTGTGTGTGTGAGTGTGTGTGTGAAGGGTGCAGTGTGTGTATGTTTATGTGTGTGTGAAGGGTGTGATGTGTGTTAAGGGTGCGATGTGTGTGTGTGTAGCATGTGATGTGTGTGTGTGTGAAGGGGGCAATGTGTGTGTGTGTGTGTGTGTGTGTGTGAAGGGTTCATATGGTCTATGTTGTGTGTAGGTGGGTGATATGTGAAAATCTTAATGTCTTCCCCTCCCTTCTTCATTCCTTTTACCAGGGAGAGGGGCATAATCTGCAAGCCCTGGTGGTCCAGTGGTGGGATGTTCATTTTAGCCTGCACCTCCTCCGGCTGCAGGCTGGCTCTCCTGTACTCCTGCAGGCACAGCACTGTATTGGAACATTGCCATAGTAATGGACAGCAGCGCTCCGGCCAGCCTGCTTGCAGGCTCGCAGGCTCCTATGCCCTTACCTCCCTCTGCTGGAACTAAGGGCCAACCAGCTTGTGAGGGAGATCTTTGATCTCCTCACCAGTCCAAGAGGGCTTACAGCAAAGCTGGCTCTGCATGGGCTGGCATGGGAGATGACGGATCTGCTTAACTTGGTCTAGGGCCATCGAGCGTCTTCTGCAGAATCCACCACTGCCCAACTGAAATCCAAAACTGCCCACTTGTGGGCAGTAGGGACCAGGTTGACTACACCTGATCTTCACAATTAGATTAAAAAAAAAAAATCGGAGGCAGAAAATTCCCCCTTTTTTATGTTCTTACTCTAAAGAACTCTGTATTGTACCATATGTCTTTTCTTCCTATCCAAATGGGTGACCTCTTGTACTTTGCACAGTCCTATTAATGAACAAGTTACCAGAAAGCTGTTTGTGCTGGTCATGTATATATATATATATATATATATACATATATATATGTGTATATATATATATATATATATATATATATATTTACAGTATCTCACAAAAGTGAGACACCCCTCACATTTTTGTAAATATTTTATTATATCTTTTCATGTGACAACACTGAAGGGGGGTCAGCCCGTCAGTGCTCAGACTATACGCCGCACACTGCATCAAGTTGGTTTGCATGTCAGTTATCGCAGAAGGAAGCATCTTCTAAAGATGATGCACAAGAAAGCCTACAAACAGTTTGCTGAAGACAAGCAGACTAAGGACATGGATTACTGGAACCATGTCCTGTGGTCCGATGAGACCAAGATAAACTTATTTGGTTCAGATGATGTCAAGAGTGTGTGGAGGCAACCAGGTGAGGAGTACAAAGACAAGTGTGTCTTGCCTACAGTCAAGCATGGTGGTGGGAGTGTCATGGTCTGGGCCTGCACTGGGTAGCTTCAGTTCATTGAGGGAACCATGAATGCCAACATGTACTGTGACATACTGAAGCAGAGCATGATCCCCTCTCTTTGGAGACTGGGCCGTAGGCAGTATTTCAACATAATAACAACCCCAAACATACCTCTAAGGCAACCACTGCCTTGCTAAAGAAGCTGAAGGTAAAGGTGATGGACTGATCAGGCATGTTTCCAGACCTAAACCCTATTGAGCATCTGTGGGGCATCCTCAAAAGTAAGGTGAGGGAGTGCAAGGTCTCTAACATCCACCAGCTTTGTGGTGTTGTCATGGAGGAGTGGAAGAGGACTCCAGTGGCAACCTGTGAAGCTCTGGTGAACTCCATGCCCATGAGGGTTAAAGCAGTGCTGGAAAATAATAGTGGCCACACAAAATATTGACACTTTGGGCCCAAGTTGGACATTTCCACTTAGTGTACTCTCTTTTGTTGTCAACAGTTTAAACATTAATGGCTGCGTGTTGAGTTATTTTGAAGGGACAGCAAATTTACACTGTTAAAAAGGCTGTACACTTACTACTTTACATAGTAGCAGTGTGTCATTTCTTCAGTGTTGTCACATTAAAAGATATAATAAAATATTTACAAAAATGTGAGGGGTGTATTCACTTTTGTGAGATACTGTATATATATATATACATATATATATATATAATGTTTTCTAGCCTTTCTTCACTACTAAAATTTTCAATTTCCCCTTGTTAATTTTGTAGTCTTCATTTTTCAAGTTCGATGATACCTTTTTTAAACAGGTGCGCACAATTGGCGTCTTATCATTAAATTAATTAAAAGACAAAGTTATATTTTCACCTGTGAATTAATATCCCTTTGTATGCATGACAATGGTTTTATCAACGGTTGGATTCCCTCCAGTACAAATAGATTTACGAATGGAAGGAAAATATTTTCTAAAATTATAAAAGTTTTGGGCAAACCAAATTTCGGGAATGCTATTGTTTTGTTTGTATATTTGCGTTTCAATGAATTACAGAAAAAACAATTACATGTTTAATATTTCACTCATTGCTGGTGAGTGAGAGTTAGAAATATGGAAATTAACGGGTGATTTATAATAACTAACCCAGTGTACACTCCCCATTCCCCACTGAAACACTTTATTGATAATATTGATAATATTTATTTTCAGGGAGAAAACCCAAGTTATAATAACACTAGGGTCGGCGCTAGTAAGTCCAGGCAGAACAATATGAGTTACAAGTGTTCCCTCAAAAACCCATGAAAATTATCAAAGACAGGTAGCACAAAGGTAGGGTAGGGCTGTGCCACAGTACAACAATAAAATGTGGGTATAAATGTATCTAGTTCCAAGAGTCTTATATAAGATACTTGAGATCAATAGGTTCTTTGGAGCCAGAGGATGGTGGTCTTTGCACTTTGCAGATGTCTGCATATACAGAGAGGGACGATAAGAAGTGAAGAGGCTAATAGTGTATTAGGTCTCATTGGGTATAGATAAAGCAGTAAAATAATAGGGTTACACTCACATTTCGTAGAGCTTAAGCCAGCTCTGGTGTGTATAGCGTACAGCGGTAAAATCTCCACTTAAAGGATATGACTTTAGTGTTCTTAATGATGAAGGTGTAGGGAACCCAAAACGACAAAATAAAAGGCAATGATAGTGTTCTCAATAAAATATAAATAGTCAGTAAGATATAATTAAAATTATACTCACAAAGAAAGAGCAGACTAACTGATCTATGACAACAGCATCGGTGGTATGATGCCCACCTGGGATTCTTTGGAGTAGAGAAGGCTAACAATTGTTAGTGCCAGGTTGTTTGAAGAATAAAATAATACAATTAGAAAAGATAGTGGCACAAATACTAAAGTGACCAAAATCCATTTATTAGTTAAAAAACAAATACGTACATCCAAACGCGTTTCACCATATAAGATTTAACAATGGAGTAAAAACATTCAACCTGTCTTGTTAGGGTTTATATAGGTCTAAAACAAATTAAAACTGGCTTCAAAATTGCTTTGTCCAATAATAGAGCAGTATATGTTTGCATATAAATAACAACATAAGACAAATATTTGAAGACCTAACATTAAAGGGTGATACATTTTTTATACCAATACATTTAAGTTGACTTGGATCTTTATTGTGTATAATGAAATGTTTAGAGAACAAGTGGTTGAGGTATCCATTTAAAATGTTGCGACAATGTTCGCCTAGTCGTATCTTAAGGATTCTTGTGGTCATTCCAACAAATTGGAGAGCACAAGGGCATGCTAAAAGATA